ACAAACATCTGATGATTGAAAAGCAAGTACTCGATTATACTCACACAAAGATGATTGGATCTTACTAGCTTGTAAATACAGAGCGGCATGGGCCAAATGTTTAACATTTACTGTTCCCCCATTCCCCTCCCCCGGCTCTCTCTCTCTCCCTCCCTCTCTCTTTTTGTATTCATTTTCATTTCTCATTTTTCAGATCACAATACACACAGAAAAATCTATCTATCATAAACTCACACCACGCTGCGTCCACAATTAACTAAATGTCCCCCTTTTTTTCCGGGTGGAAACAATAAAATCCCCTAATAACCACTAATGCACACGGGTCTCAACACATCCACCGTTGTTATGTCTTCTTCCCAGAGCAGGGAGTCACACATTATGGTATCTCCCTAATCCGCAAACCAGCTGCAACTGGAAATGAATTAATAACAAATAAAATGCACCCAGTGCACAAAATGTGTAGATTGCCCTTTGGGCAACTAAACAGGAAACAGTGAAACAATTAGACTTCTTGTTTTGTTCTGACCTCTGTTTTGTTTTGTTCTACATAGCTGCTGAATAGAAGGAGCTGGAGGTAGAGGCCGTTGTTTTTCTCTGTCTGTAATCACCACGGCTAAGCCTCCCTGGTCGTAGCAGGGGTCACATCTGTGTGAACACCCACTTTTCATCCCACAGGGAAATGAAATACACTGTTACAGTCGAGCTCCGTGAACGCTGCAACCCTCCGCTGGCTGCAACCCACACCGAAGTGGTGCGGTGAGCCACCCGGGCCGATACGGCGCGCGCATGTGATAACAGGCAGCGATATGGCGTCCTAATTGCTGGCCTGAGTGCTATTGGAGGGAGTTTTCAGCAGGTTTCTCTCTCACTTTCACTCCATCTGACGTCTTTGAAGTTGCTCTTTTATCTGCCGCTGCTCCTGATGGCTGTTGTCTTTGGTGCTGTGTGTGCTCTTTGAGCACTCCTAACGTGTAACAAAGGCAGGCCCTTAGAGAGGGAGAGAGGAGAAGAAGACAAATAAAAGGAGCTTTCTACCTTCTCACATTGGTCCGTGCACGCACAAGCGCACAGTGTACACGATCACATTTAGGCAACAACAAAAAAAATGGGCCTCCGCTGTCAGAAATAACTGCTCTTTGTGATTGTTTAACGGGCCCTAATTTGATAAAAGGCCATGTGCGGGAAATGAGAGTGTATTTGTCTCGGTGGTTGCAGTGGGGTAAATATAGCAACAAGACAGCACTAGTTGATATGAAGGATTCCATGAGTGCTGTTGTGACTCACCAGGCTATGAGGATCTCTCTCCCTGAGAGTGCGAGTGTGTGTGTGTGTGTGTGTGTGTGTGTGTGTGTGTGTGTGTGTGTGTGTGTGTGTGTTTGAGCATTTGGATGCATACATGCCCAGCGTTGTTATCATAGATAAACTTGAATAGAACCGATCCTCTCCTCCGACATGGTGTACAATAATCTATTAAAACAGAGAGAGAGAGCATGTTTGAGTTGAGGAAGCAGGGAGAGACCAGAGGAGAGCCTTGAGCGGGCGAGAGAGGGAAAGACAGTGAGAAAAGAATTCTCGGCTGCGTGCAGGGGTGTGTGTGTCTTTGAGAGTGTGTTGAGAGGAGAGCGAGAGCGCCGGTCGTCTCCATGTCTAATCAGGAGAACACTTGTGTGTCCCCGTCTCATTGTCTCCGGGGCCCCTTGGGGCGGAGGCCCAGCACTCCACCACCACCCCAGAGGACATGCCGATAGCTGCTGATCCAAGCCGTGAGGGGACAGACTTCAGATTGTATTGTCCAGATGTGCACCAAGAGGAAAATGTTTAAAAATCTGTTGTGTAAACTGAAAAAAGAATTAAGACATAAATACACAGACCTTGAGGTGACACAGAGCATCATGTGAATTCAATTGTCCCTTCAAAAAATCATTGTTTTCATAATTTCACTGTAGGAATGTCCTAGGTGTGCTTGAAAATGAATAGTGACACGAAATGAGTAGTTTATGGCATTTTAGGCATTCTCATAATGATAGTGTAGAGATTAGAAAAATAATTTGTTAGCCTTTAAATATTTTTTAAAGGATTTGTCTAGAAATCATGTCTAGAAAGAAAATTGCACGCCTTTCAACCAATGGTTCTATGAAACAACTGGAATAAAATGTCTGAACAACGTGATTAATTTGTCATAACCACTCTGATGAACTTGACCTCATTTTGCGGTCTAAGTTTAAAAAAAAAAGAAAAAACACAACGGGTCGCGTACTACTCCTGTCACGGGACAGGCGCGCCCCCGACCCCGGTGTTTCTGTCCTGTAGCAGGATAGCAGCAGCGCACGCTCCCGGCTCAGCAGTTTCCCAGTTCCGTCTCCTCCATTACTGGCGAGGCTCTGAATCAATAATTCAATAGTTTTGGCGTCTAAATCCTGCCCCAAACGGCGAGATACACAAACACTCCAGACTCTAGTGCAGACTCTGTAAGATCAGTATTAATTAATAGCCGAAGACATTGTGTTTTGTGTGGAAATATCGGAAGGGGGTAATGCAATACGGATCCCTATAATTATAGGATCCTGTGTCAGGTGTTTATTAAAAGTTCAATAAGAGGCGGTTAAGATGTCAGGAAATGAATCAGGCAAATTTGTAAGTCAATTGAGCCTGCCGTTAGTAAAGGGTTCTTTTTTTTTACAAAGGGTTTGGCTTTGTTTAACTTTCTGAGATGCATTTATATATTTTTATACGTAATCGCAAACTTTAGGTCAACCAGCAACATTTTAACTCAGCAAAGATGGGCAGTAGGGGGGTTCAAGACGGGGATTTATCCCTGAAATTACATACGGATCGAAAAACGTGTATTGCATTAATTCATTGAGTAAAAATAACTACCATATATGTATACATAATGTATATGTATGTGTGTCAATGTGTGTGTGTGCGTGGTTATAAGTAATCAAATTAAAAAGTATTCTTTGTCAATGTTCGGTGCTAGTTTATCTCTACTAATTATTGCAAGAATATTAATAAAATATTTTATGTGCATGTCAATTGCTGAAAAAATGTATCTTTGAGCCATTAATCGGTCCCTTTCTCTTCATCTCTTTATCTAGTTTTTTCTAGCTTCAATTGCCCGTCCTCCATAACCAAATGATGAATAATGCATTGGTTTGGCATGGGGACAGCAACAGACAGCCTTGTCCTGACTAAACGGGGCTGTCACAACTGTGACGTTGTCAAAAGACCTATGGCTATCGGCATGAATTATTAAAAAGATATTGCCCTCAAAGGTTTACCGGTGGCAATAATAATTTTGGCCAAGGGCCAATTAAGAAGGTAAAAATAATGTCAACTCATTAATGAAACTTTAGTTAATTTATTATAGGAACGAAAAACATTTTGTTTAAGTGGATTCACGTTTCACATGTGATGGAAAAAGTAAAACAATTTCATGAGTATTCTCTTTTTTTTAAGAAACCGGTGCCTCAGTTAAGTTCACTTTCACTGTTATAAAAACATTAAAATTACATACAGAAAGCACATGGTTTTTTAATACACGGAAATAAAGTAAAATACAAAATGAACAAATTCCTCACAAGGCATAAAGCCACTAAATAATAAAAATAATGCATGTTTCTTGTGTATAAACATATTTTACACGTGCCCGTACCGGATCGCATACAGTTCTCGTGTTACTGTCATTTATTCTTCGCTCACTGTGTTGTTCACTGTGTTAAAGATGACATATTTACCACATATGGACACTACATATCGGGTTATCCTGACCAGAAAAGTTCAGCATAGCCTATGACACATATATTATAATCTCACATTTCTGCTGCCTCGCCTATAGTTCCACCTTTTACCAGAGGAGGTCCGAACAAGGTCAAACACAGGCCAAATATTCAAGTGAGAGTTGCTTTTCCTTGAGGAGGAAAGGAAAGGAGGGAGAAAGAGAGGAGGAAGGGTGGGGAGGGGGGGGGGGGGTATCTCACTTTACGTCACCCGTGAAGACAAACTCATGCAAACACTGCCTGGGCATTTTAAATTTTTGGACAAGAAACAGAAGAGGGGAAGAAACACGTATTGTTTTTGTCTCTGCTGTGTGTCAAAGAATTCCTGCTTTGTCCTTTCACAGAGAAAGTGTTTCATACCGAGGCCAGCCTCCATATAGGTTCAAACGAAACAATAATAATATAACATTAAGTCACAACAGCCGCAGAATGGTTCGCCTTGTTTGACAAAGTATCGACCGTCCCGTCAGCTGCGTCGTCGGTCGTCCTCCTCCTCGGGGTGTCCCGCCCTCCTTGGCCACGTGGTCCCAGAGAAGCCCCCACCCCCACTCCCTCCTCCCCCCCGCCAACGTAGCCATGCTATCCATCCCATCCGCCGCTTCATCGGGCGTCCAAAAATCACATTTGTGTTTGCGCTGTCACAGTCATAAGCCTCTTTCTTCTCAGTGCTTCCTCCCAATTGTCTCATAAATAACCTATATATATTTGTTTTATTGGTATGCTCGTGGTCCTTCGTTTAAAAAAGAAAAAAAAAAATCGTGCTTCGGCGGTGCTTTTTGTGCTTGCTCGGGCCATTCAAAGAAAGGTAGAAAGCTCCCTTTTATTTGTCTTTGTTGTCCTCTGTGACTCTCTAGGGGCCCGCCTTTCTTCCGCGTTCGGGGTGCTCAAAGAGCACCGGGGGCGTCAAAGTCTACAGCCTTCAGTAGCAGCGGCAGATAAAGGAGTTATTTCTAATATTTTGGATGGAGTGAAAGTGAGAGAGAAACCTGCTGAAAACTCCTTCCATTCCCACTCAGGTCAGCAGTTAGGACCCCATAGCGGGGCCTGTTATCACATGCGCGGGGCGTATCGGCCCCAGGGGGGAGCCCGGGGGGTCCTGCGCGGGGGCCCCGCAGCTTCCCACCGCAGTTTTCCCCCCCCCCTAAAAGGAAAAGGGGGGCCCTTTGAAAGTGTTATGAAAAGGGCCGGGTCCCCCCGGTTGGGGGGGGGGGGGGGGGGGTGGAGAGAAGGGGGAGGAGGAGGGGAGAACATGCGTTAACTTTGCAGTTTGTCTCAACGGTCATTTCACGTGTGTCAATGTGGTCGGAGTGGTTACATTTTAGCTGTGTACTCCGAGGATGCAGGCTGGCCAATGTGTGTCATCATTCAGTTGCACTTAAGGGTCCAATCCCAGAGTCATTGAGCAATATAACTCGGTGGCATGTACGGATATTATTGACTGCAGCTCTTGTGAATCAAAGGTCACATTTGAGTTTTTATTTGGACATCAATAGCATGAAATCTAATCTCAAGGCATTGCCTTTGGGGATATTGGGCCCTTTGCATACAAGATAATAACCCAGTGGTGCTCAAAAGTAAGGACAGGCTTCACAAATGTAATGCAATATAAATAGTGTTTTGTCCTATTCTGCCCAGACTCTCATCACAACCGGTTACCAAATAAACACAGGGAACCTCCTGGCCTCTGAAGCTCTTGCTCCACAAAAGTAGGCCGAAATGAGCCATTAAACAAATAGAGGTACTTTCCCAATTACAGGCTGCGCTGTGTCGGCTCAGTGCTTTTGCCGGTGCGGTAATAAGAGTTTGGTTATTCTCTGCACAGCACTCGGGCACAGCCAGTGCCGAGACAGCAGTCCGGGGGTTGGTCTGATTTTAAGACTAGAGGCTTCAAAGTGACTTGCCTGTTGGAATGGCATCCGCAGAGCACCCACGTTGACATATGGCGCAACACGACAAGCTTCAAACTGATTCGCTGCTCCAATCAGGACTCCTGCGAAAGCACAGACGATAGCCTAATTGTGAGGATGGTATTCAAACACTACAAAGAAGTAAACTGTACCGAATAACGAGCAGTGAGCTGTGTTGTCGGGGGGGAAACTTTACTAACATCCAAGATAAACAGGAAATCACAGTGCTTTTGATGGCTTAATTGACTGAAAATGAGTAATAGCAACAGTGCGTAAAGATTAAAGATGCGTCTTGCATTTAGGTGTGTTGTGGCCTTGTAATAGAATAGAATAAAATATAATAGAAAAGTGCTGTTGTATGTGGGCGCATGCGGGATAAAAGCGTACCTTTATGTAATTGGTTCTCTTGCTTTCTGCATTTGGCTCTTCTATTCTGGAACCAAACCTGCAGGGACAGAAATTAATTAGAGACCCACTGATTGGCAGCTGCTTGTGAGGCCATGTGTAATTCCTCTCAAAGTGACAACAACCGCAGGAAAAAAAACAATATCCCCACAGAGCACTGAAATATTAATGGCTCTGCTTAACCCTAGATTTGTATTATTACATTTAGTCCACCACAAGAGAGCGGCGCATTGGAGCAGAGAGGGATCGAAAATAGAAAGTAAATCTCCCAACAAAAAAAAGGACATTAAAACCGTATTAGGAGAATGGAAACACCCTTGTTGGAAATATGCAGGCCTATTGGACTATAATAAATAACCTTGTCAGCGTTGGTTTCATCTTTCTATAGATTAGTGTCCCCAAAGAGTTGAATGGACTCTCGGATATCGAATAGCAGCAATGCTATTACGGTTTTGGACATCAGAGCAGGGCGATCTGAGAGCATCTCGCTCTTTCTCTTTATATCTCCCTCTCATTAAATGACCGCTGAAATTAATTACCCTTATCTGCGGAAAATCCATGTCAGAGAAGCGCTTAAATGCCTCGCAGTTTTGTCTAATCACCGCCGAAACACACACTTGCACGCACACACGCACACGCACACACACACACACAGAGGGAAACGCTTCAAAGACTGCTCACTTTTCTTTTTCCTTCTGTTGAAATCGACAAGCGTCAATTTCAGAGAACCGCCTTGGAACACAGATTAAACGATTTATTTCTATGATAACCCGTTTTGAATCTCCCATACAAAGCTCGGGATAAATTAGCCCACAATACAACATGTCAATCTGCAATCTCCCTTACATTGGGGGTCCGTAGAAGCACGATTGAAATATCCTATTGATTTGTCTGTCATCGGGCTTCGTGCGTTGACCACAGTGCGGGTCAATCGGAAGTCCTTTCGTGCCCGCTTCAGTTATAATTTATCGAGATGATAAAAAAGCAAATGCTCTGCTGGCTATTGATCGAGGCAGATATTATTTTCGGAAAAATCTCAAATAAATGGTCAGTGAACGCAACTGGTGAAACGATATGATTCTCTTACAGACGGGAAGAGGGGGGGCACTGCTCCTGATTTGGGTAGAAAATAATACATAATTTATGCAAATCCCCGAGCTGTGCTCCTTGTTGGGGATACAATACGCCTTATTGGTGAGATTCCAGTTCAGGCCGGGGGAGCCCTGCGAAAATCTGGCTTTAACTTTTTTTTGGGGGGGGGTGGGGGGGGCATGGGGGGTTGAAGGGTGAGTTTGTGATGGGGGTCTCTTGGGCTGGTTTCTACGATTTTTCTTCTCTTTTTTCCCCCCCTTTACGACCGCCATATTCAATGTGGGGACAAATGCTCAGTCCTCCCCTGAGCCGCAGCCAAACTGGATCAAACAGTCTGGAATAACATGATATATGAATTTATTTATTTTATTTTTTATAAATAAATCCGATAAGAGTCGTCTATATGGTCATTGTCCCCCTGCTGCCGTTACACGAGGCATGTCTGAACCCCCCCTCCGTTACCCAACTGACTGAAGCCTTACTGGGTTTCTGCGCAGATGGTCTGTCCTCATGAAAAAAGACAGCATCACTGACAAAACGAGGCCTCGGTAACATACACACCCAGAAGCTGACGGCAAATATTTGTTTCGGTGGATTAGGATACAATGATTAAAACGACTCTCGTGATGCAAACAAAAGCACAATTGAGATCATTAACGGAAATTAAATCATCAAAGCGAGCTGAGGAAATGAATAATCGGATCAGAAAATGAAGACAAAATAACATTTCGATGGTGAACTCTGAAATCTTGGTCAATTCATTAAACTATTGGGGGGAGGGGGGGGGTTCCTATGAACGGTTATGTTGAATTCAGGCATATTCTGTAGTAATTGTGTGCATGTTTAAGTTCCCTTTTATACGTAAACCTCCGTAAAACGAAATATTACCAGACGCATGCCTTATATCGAGCAATCTGAGAAAACATTATTCAGATCCGCCTTGGAAATAGAGAGAAGGTGGGGGGGGGGGAACATGGTTGCATTTATAATTTCTTTCTATTATCATCATTGTAACATGATTACTGTGATCACTTCAGCATGTTTGGTCTCTTTCTTGTCTAATGATTTTAGCCCATACTCAAACACCCCTGTCATAATTACCATTGTTATTAATTTATTCCTTTTGATGGATAATTTACTTCAAGTTAAGAGCCCTCCTCGCGACCCTTTGTCCAACCCATTCCCTCGATATTCTTCTCACAGTAGCTGGTCCTCAGGAGGACTCGTCCTACCTGCACTCGGGCCTCCGACAGTCCCAGCCGCTGGCTCAGCTCCTCCCGCATGAAGGCGTCCGGGTAGTGGGTCTCGTCGAAGAGCCGCTCCAGCTCGTTGAGCTGCTCTAATGTGAAGTTAGTCCGACTTCTCCTCTGTTTGATTTTGGTCTGCGCCTCGTCCTCCAGAGGCTTCGAGTCCTCTTTCCTCTCCTTCACGTCCGTGTTGCCTGAGAAGAGAAGAAGAGACGCGTCAACATCGCGACGGCGAACTGCGTGACCTCCATGTGTCCGTGGTCGTCGCTGGCCTTCATCCTCATCCTCACGTGTTTATGGGACGTTACAAACATGTCTTTACGCAGGAAACATGACGCAAACGAGATGTAAATGGGCCGAAGCAAAATATCAAAAGCAGAGCTGCAACAACGTGCACTGCATGGACGATTATCTTCTCCAATTGGAAATAAAAGCGAGACGATAAGGAAGAAAGAAGGACTTGCCCTCACAGCCCTCAAATATCACACAGCTATCAGACCTCGGATGTTTTGTAGAGCTACATAAAGCTCTTTAATTATTAACTGCTTATAAATATGCAACGCTGTGCCCACTGTTGGATGTCTGATACACGCTTTTAAACACGCTGCCCATGACGAACAGATGTCTCTTTTTTTTTTTTACAAGCCCCCCAAATCTTAAGATATCTTGTCCCGCGTGTGGCCATATTTTTGTCAGGGTTTTATTAAATACAGCGAACAGCTGCTCAAATTGAAATTAAAATGTAAACGTATACATTATTTCAAAACAATTTAAACGGGTCGGTACGGAAGCATTTAACACCAAAACATTATGTTGTATTTAATTAACTGTTTAGCGTTTGAAATTTGAATTGAATGCTATTTTTAATCACGTTTTTTCGATTTTATTTTTTTTCGTTATGCAATTACGACAAAAACACGAAATTATTGGGGAAACCAACATTAAACAATTCTTTCACCTTCAGTCTATTAAATATACTTTTTTAAATGAGACTATTAGGCTTTCCTTACTGCCATCTAATTGACCTGCTTTCATGCCTGAAAACCGACATCTATGTGCAGTGGGTGACAACAGAAATGACAGGACTTGATTGCCACCTTTCATGTGCACCGGTGTCTGTATGTCAGGGCTTTGATGCGCCTTCTTTTCGTTGCAATATTAATACAAAATATATATCAAGCTCTCCGAGGTAACTGACAACCAATGACGCCGCGATGAATGAACATATCGTGTACCGGTGTAAGGCGTCTAATAAAGATCAGAAGGCCCCCTGTTACTTATCATATTCAAAATAATATTTTTGGGGGGGACTTAAATCGTTTTAATATTATAATATAATATAATGGCTACTCTTTGCCAAGGGAGGCCTTGTTGTTTGTCATAGTTCCGGGTAAAGCCTTTTCCACAAATACAAAGTTTCTGAAACTATATCGCAGAATAACATTACCACGCTGTGATCACCTGATAAACATGGGAGTTTTTATGATCGATAATGCTTGTGATGTGGTCTATAATATGGGTCGTTTTCACGGTGCATCTGGCGAGCATCTAACGCGACGAACCTTTAAAGATGCTTTCACAAAGCCCCGGTAAATGATTCCCGATCACGACTCTCCTGGAACTTACGTCAACTATTCGGGCTCAAATCCGCAGTATGGTCTTTGCTTAGATCATAACCCAAAACCCAGATGTTTTAACACCATCTCGTCCAAACAAACGTGATCTGTGTCTGTTAGTTTTCGCCAATCACTCGTCTATAAGTCCTCTACCCCCCCCCGCAGAGATAAAGCCTGCAGCCTGCAGCGCTGTAAAAGAAACATTGCAGTCCTACCGTCCGTGAGTTTGGGGCTCCCGGCATCCCTGATTCTTTCCGGGCCGAGCATGTCCGTTTCCCTGCCCGGCGAGAGCGCACCGATCCGGGGGACGGCTGCTGCCTCCTCTCGGCTCCCGGTTAAAGACTCCCTGCTTCCCGCTCGCGTCGACCCAGTCTCCAGCACCTCCCGGTAGGTTATCACTTCCTTCTTCTCCTTCACTTTCTGATCGAACGACTTAGATACGAAAGCGGTGAGCTCTTCCATCACTACCTTGTCTCCTCTTAAAAAAAAAAAAAAAAAAAAAAAAATCACCACACACTCTCGCTCACACACACTCTCTCACACACACTCTCTCTCCCCCTTTGCTCCACGACTGCTTAAAGACATCAATGGTGTGGCTCGTTTTAAAGCCGAACCCTTGAAAACAATTCGCCTGTACGAGGCGAGAGCTGCCAACTCTGGAAGAAAAATGTAAAAAATATATATATAAAGAATAAATCTTCTCAGCCAATTCCTCCCTCCTTTGGTAGCGGAGTAGGGAACCTGCTGGTGATCCTCTATTGAAGTCACAGTATTTATACTTTGCGGCGCCTTGCCCCCTTGATCCGTGCAAATTACCTCCCCTCAGGATGCCGGGATGAGCCCCCCTTCCCCTTCACTGTTATGCGCGAGAGAGAGGGAGAGAGAGAGAGGGAGAGAGAGAGAGGGAGGTGGGGGGCGGAGGGAGAGGAGTTAAAAACAGAGAGAAAAACATTAGCAGCACCGTTACTATTGGCCATTAATCCGAGATTGACAAGAAGGACTAATTAATTTAATTAAGCGCTCATTTGCCGCTATTGTCCTGAGTTAGTTTTTAAACACCCGGGAGATGGTCATGGATCCCCCCCTCCCTCCCTCCCTCCCCCTCTCTCTCTCTGTAGGGGTGTGGCTTAAAAATCTGAAAATGACGAGAGAGGGAAAGAGGGAAGGACATGGGTGAGGAGTCCTTCCTCAGTGTATCTCTGTGATCTGAGGGGGGGTAAGTCACAAATGACACGGAGAGGAAAGGGGGTAAACAGAAAGAGCAAAAAGCGGAGCAGCTGGGATGCCAAAGAGGAGCAGCAACAACTCAATACATGGAGCTTTTATAGGACGCTCAAGTGATCATCCCTAGTTGCACTTGGCTTTAGGCCTGAAACATGCATCCGTTTTGACATGTTTGTATATGGAAGCTTTTAGTCAACTGAAAAAATAAAATAAACAGAAACACAAGTTATATATATTTTGACGGTGTTGGTATTATAAAATAATTGTAGTAGTTTGAGGACTAATTTGGTATTATGTTCTACCAAAATGATAAAACACACAATAAACATATTATTATTAGTATAATTGCTGTTATTATTATTACTATTATTGATATTACCAGTAATATTATTATAATTTCATTACTATTATTATCCTGTGATGTTATTGCAAACGCTCTGACAAAAAGTCTAATAAATATTTAGCCGCCATAAAAGTTTTAGACCCTGTGAAACAAATCACTGCATAATGCAGCGTTGCTTTATATTTCTAATAAGCAATTATGTATTTTAAATTGTCATCATTAGTGAGACTATATCACTTAATATCCATCCTCAGTGGACTTTTTTAAACCATTAGGATGTTAAATAGCAGCTAAACGTTTAATTACAATGCCTCTCGCGATGTGTTGCCACTGGGCTCACTAATTAACGTTTTCAACTCTCCTTTTCTCGCTGAAATGATTGCCTATATTTGCAAAAAAATAAATAAACAACGGTTGACTTGCGACGTAAGTAACGCCGCGGAGAGAGCAATTAAGCGGGGAGAGGAGGAAGCATACACGATTCAGCGGGATTTAGTAAACGTCGGGGTGAATTTGATGCATAACGTGTTTATTGATGATCTTTACACGGTTCAATTTCTACACCATAGCTCTGACACTTTCCCTAATTAAATATTTACGACAATTCAGCTGAAACCTTAGGCATTAATTATCATTATTTCTGCTGCATCTAAAAGCAGGACGGATTCCTAATCGCACGGATGCGCACCCACGTGCGTCTATTTGCATTAGAATCCCCATGAAGTTGCTTTTATGAGCTATAAGCTCATTATTGATTCATTCACTCATGCCAGCCGAGACAGTGGTCGTTTCACCTTCGGTCTCGATATGTGTTTTGGAATTTCGTAGAGTTTTATGAGGTAATTAGTTATTTTACTGTACTGCAAATTGGCTGGATGCTCCGTGTGCCCTTTCAGCTCTCTGTATGCTGGAATAAAATCGTATTATCTGAGAAGATGAGTTCATGCAAATAGTCATTGACTGGTCCACAACTTGCAAATGCATTTTCTTTTGTTGTAACTTCGGGTTATGCGTGTCAGAACAAAAAAATGATAAGTCACTTAAACTGATGATAGACACAAATGCACATTACAGCCATATTCATTTGGGATATTTTCAAATTGACTTGAGACGTAAAAAAATGATTGACACAATTTAACGAATAAGTGCTGAAGAAATTTTGCTCCTTTATTTAACCTTGATCTTTGAAACAGTGTTGTGTCTCAAACGTGGCCATGGAGGCCGGCATCCAAAAATGTTCAACCAACCTCCACCAGCCATGCAATCATGAAAATACAGTATACGTTTTGTCTAACTGAATCAAAATGCACCTTTGAACATCTCTCCAAAATGTAATCAAACTGTTAATGTGGGCTTACATTCATATGCATTTAGACTGCTGTAAACGTACAACTTAAAACAATATTACATCGTATAAGGCTCATTTGAGGCAGACAATATAATTCATAGAAATAAATGAATACGTAATTCAAACCTATGATGAGAGCCGAGCGGCGACTCGATCTATTGCTCTGTGTTAGATTATTCTTCTCTGGACTCGATCGATGCTTTCTCGTTCGATGACTCGGGGCTGCGGAGCAGTGCATGGCTGAGTTGTGGAGCTTCGCGAAGATTTAAAAGGTGAGGAGCGGGATTCTCGTTTCAAGACAGCTTCTTGTTTTATTGTTTCTCCACTTTTTGTCCCTACCATGTAACGTTTTACCGACTGCAGTACACGGTTACTGCAATGCGGCTTTAGGGCTGTGAAAACAAGAACTAGCATCCACCCAAACGTTCGTTGAAATTAGCACAGTTAGCCTGCTAGTTAGCCTGCACAGAAAAGTGCCACTTAAATCAACTTTTATATTTGCGGCACATTCCCTTTTTTCATTGCTGTTGTTAAAACTGTAACGGTGACTCGGGTTACACTCATTGTTGTAGTTTACAGTACTCCATGTCGCTGTACACCAAGGTATCGTTGCGTGTTGTGGTGGTTAGCTACACATCCATCACAGTGCCTTCTGGCTTAAACGACGAATTATTACATTAATAAAACATGTGGTTTACAAGACGTGTAGGGGAATATGCTAGTAGTGTTGTCAAATGTTAGTAACACCACTGTGTGTGTGTGTGTGTGTGTGTGTGTGTGTCAGCCAGCCAGCATGGGTCGGCGCTCGTCTGATAGCGAGGATGACAGTCGGAGCAAGAAGAAGAAAAAGCAGCGTCGCCGGTCGTCGTCCTCTTCCTCCTCCTCCTCTTCCTCCTCCAACAGCAAGGTGGTCAGCAGCCGGACTCGGAGGTCCAGTCGCCGCAGCCGCTCTCGCTCCAGAGACAAGACCAAAGACAGGAGGTGGGAATGCACAACACTCTTCTTCTTCTTCTTCTTCTTCTTCTTCTTCTTCTCCTCTAGTTAAGGGGGTGAGAGTAGAAGTGTCCTCGTACCAGACAGATTCAGCACTGCTTCGGTGGGGACTCATCTCCTCTGTGTGTTGCACAAGCACCAAAACACAGCTTGTTATTATTAAACGTGGCATGCTTCCATTGGACAGCTCCTCAGAAGTTACAATGTACCGTGTGAAGGCCAACCATTGGAGCGGAGTGGGCAAACTTTAGGAGTCCTATGTATTTTGATTAAAGCAGAAACCCAGTTATTCTTGTTCTCTCCGTCCTAGTAGGTTTATATCAATTGTTAAGCCCTAGGAGTATGGATTGAATCGCTATACATTCAATAACATTCTGGCCTTGTGTGGATTGGCATGTAGCTGTTTTCAGAGGGCAAAAAATGGGAATTATTTTGCTGGTGCTTTAAAAAACATGCCTGTGAGACACTGGGGTTACCCATGTAAATAAAGGGGGAAAGTTCTCTTTCTGCTTTCAATATGGCGTCCATAAAAGAATGTTGTCCCCATATTATATTATATTTTCTTTGCTCATTTTTGAAAAGATAGAATTGAATGATTCACCTGAAATGGTGGATAGTGACGTCACCCATACTGTTTACAATAAATGTCAGATGATGAATGAAAACGACAACTGTCAGATCTTGAGCCTAATCTGTTTTAGTTGGTCATAACACTCCACTAAGGTAATTTTGAAAAAAAACAATCTGAGTTTCTACTCATGCATACAAAATGCAACACTCTGTTACCAAGCAGCCTCCGAGGAAGGGGGGGGTGCAGGCAGTAATGATCAGACATCTTTACAAGTGGCTAGTGGCTGGACCTGGCCTCCATCCATCCACAGCTGCCACTGGCTGTGCGTGGCTACTCAGACAAGGCCAGTGGATGGTAATTATTTATGAGGCTTGGTCAAGGTCCATTACCACTGATTGGAAGTCATTGCCTGTCTGTAAGGGAAGGAGCCTGGTGGGCAGTGCAAACCCTGGGACCACAGTCCCTCATCTATTAGCCATACATTTTGATCAATTAGCCAAGACACAGTGTGTGTTTGCGTGTGGGTCTGTGTGTGTGTTTGCCCCGAAAACTAGCTCCTCAGATAGGCTCAAATAAAAATAGACTACAGCCATTCTGTGGCTTTTTCAACCTGGACAAATCGGGCCGAGAGGCCGAACATGTGGGTGGTAAAACACAACAGCGCTTATGATCTAGGTTGGCAAAATCATTACCACAAAATGAATGTGTGCGTGTAAAGAAAGTAAGTGTGTCCGCGGCTGCCTGTCTGCGTGATATGCAGCGAACAAGCAGGACAGGGGAAAAGTGTGTTTGGGTGAGCAAGCGACATGAGTTCCGCTGATCCAAGATTGGCGTTGTATTCATGTGAAATGATTCTGTGTGAAGCAGTGCCTCCTGCTCCCATGTGTTTGAGCCATTATGTTTTTATTACGTTACATTTGCACCGGCTTCTGAGAAAATATGTGAGCTAATGCTGCCGTCCAAACCCCACCCCCTCCTCCCCCCGGCTCACTCCTGTGTGTTTCCTCTGTGTAATGTGTGAAGTGGTGGCTGTGGAAGTTATTTCATGAGGCCCTGCTCATGGGATCAAGCCTTTGGAATACTAATGGATCGTTCCCGTGCTGCTCTAAGTGGTACAAATCTGGTTTGATAGTTGAGCCTGTGTGTTATTTGAATTGCTTTGCTTTTACCCCTCCTCGCTTCTATCTCGCACAGCTCCCATTGCACACTGTATGTGGTTATTTTGTGTGCGCTAAAGCATTTGGGTATTTTTAGCTTTGGTGAAAGAAAATTAATTTTAAATAATGGATGTTGCTCAAATTGTTTGCTAGTAGAATTAGGGGGGGGGGGGGGTGAGTTGGTTCTACATTCATTTATAATTCCCCCCCTGTGAATGCCCCCTACTATATGGTATCACCTGCGTGTGGTGTGAGTGGTGCTGTGGAAATAGACGCTGCACACACTGCTGTAGCCACATTAAGGAGGCAGAGAGCACCAAAGGGCCCCTGTGGAGGAACTGCGGGGCAGGCCGCGGTCGAGCGTGTTCACTAATGCAAAGTAGCCGTCAGCGCTGCTCGTAGCAGGTGAGGTTGTCTGGGACATTAGGACATATTTGCTCTTGAAAATGAACAGCAGAACAAATTAGGAATACAGCCTTCACGCATGCAGGAGGGGGAATCACTTCAGATGATGGCAAACGAGCACAGGCCATAATAGTCGTGGCTGGGCGGAGCCTCATGTGAGGAAGGAGCTGATGCTAGAGGGGTTTGATTTTAGCTGTATTTTTGAGAACCACATTTTTCATGAACGAAACTGAGAATTCAGAACGAGGTCACATACTTCACCGTCCGATTTGCCAGAAGTCCCATGAATGATTAATAGTCCGCAATCTTGAGGTCTGATTTATGTTTTGTTTAAAGGCTCCTGCCAATAATAGATTTCAATGTGTACGTTGCTGTCAAGGAGACAGAGACGTTCCAGCAGCAGCTCGTCCCACAGTCCGTCTCGCAGGAGGAGGAGTCGCAGCACAGAGAGAGACAAGGGGAGGAGCCATCGCTCACATAGGTCACGCAGCCGGGACAAAAGGTAACACCTTACACACACACACACACACACACACACACGTGCGCTCAAGTATTTTTTCCAAGTACTGGAACTTGTCGGGAGTAATCTCAGAATTATATTATTAAATTGTATTATTATTATTATGTAATTCATTATTAACAGTATTTTCAACAGTAAAGTCAAATGTAGCTATAGCATTTGTCTGCGTAATAAAAGTCCCCAAGATAGATAGGCATCACAAAAGAATCACAGGACAATATAACAGACATCTTTATAGGATTTTAAAGAGTACGACAACACAACATGGATAAAGATAAACACAATTTTGAATACAATATGATTTATCTACACTGAAACAAAGTATGTATTACACAAAGAGAAGGATTGATGAGCAATTGCTTTTCTTCATTTAGGAATGACAGCATCCTCTTGTAGCTCTGTGTATTGCAAATCAGTATGTTGAATGCCTTTACAGATGTTTCTTATTTAACAGAAGAAAACAAATCCTTTGCAGGTTTATGTCATTCTTAACAAACACATAGTTTCCTATTCATGTGTTCTGAGCCTCATAAAAACTCGGGGAGTAGTGCGCTGCGTGGGCATCGTACTCATGTCTCAGTTTGGCCTGACCTGTCTACCGTGTGAGCAATAATTAAACACAGGCAGAAACGGCACGATAAAAACTGCCAGTTCAATTCTCGGCCAATCTCTTCCAGCAGCAGCTCACTTTCCACTCCCAAACTCAACGTTCAATTCTGATTATCATTGGTGTATTGTTTTAGCAAGGGACTAACTTATTCATGCAAGACTAATGTGTACACACCTGCACCACACTTCCCGCACACACCCGCAAACGCACACACAGTCATAGTGAGCGGTGTATCCCTTTCAGAAAACATAAAGGCAACGTCTCTGTGTGTGATGGTCCATGTCATTAGCATAGCTAATCTGGTGCTAATGAACCAGTAAACTGTGCAGTTTTTAAATCCCTCGTACGCACACACACACACACACACACACACACACACACACAGACACACGCACAATTGAAGAAAGGTTGTTGTAATATATGCGCCAGCGGGGCCCTTTGTTTACTTGTGTATGGCTGTGGGGGAGAGCAGAGATCATTTTAATCACAAAGGAAAGAGTTTTAATATCTTCATTACAGAGGTGTCAGGCTGAATGGCTGATGCAGCAGAGTGGTTTTACCACGAGGGCCTAGATGGTTCCGTATGAAGACACACTCCGACCCAATGGTCACTGAGCGTTTCGGCGGCAGCGGCGCAACAAGCCGCAAACTTGTGTGCTGCGCTGCGCGCCGAAGCCATTCACGAACACTGTCCGTTAATGGACGGTTTTCACTCATTTTCTCAGAAGCAGTCAATCACAGCGGAGCTGGTGATTAAAACATCAGTTGTAAATGTCACTACTGGTGTGGTGCGAGATGAAGGTTGGAGGGGATTTGGGAGATTTAGAACTACAGCCGATGACATCGGTGTTTACCGACGCTGTGCTGTGATTAGGAGGGTTGCGTTGTGTAATCGGCTTAGCGGTGAGCGAGGAGCAGGTGGGCTGGGCTGCTGTTGGTGGGAGTGCGTGGTGGTGGTGGTGGTGGGGGAGAGGGGAGCGAGGGGGGGTGTTACAAGGTGGAGGCGGTGCTGGAGGTGGGAATGTGCAAAACGATGGCCTTGATGATGAATTTATGCAGTTATGTGATGGCAGCTGCAATTTGTGTCTGCAAAACTTTGTTGGCGGCGGCCACATGCGTGTGCTCCTTAGAGAAATCTTGGTTAGTCGGGTAATTGGTTTGTCAATCAGCAAAAAAAAAGAAAGAAAAAAGCTTTATGAAATTGAATCATTGTTTTTTAAGCCAAGACAATTTTTTGTTTTTGTAGTTCCGGCTTCTTGAATGTGAGCGTTTGCTTCTTTTCTTTGTGTCGTTTGAGAGTCAACTGATTATCATTGGGAATAATAAGATATTTGATGAGCCTGCTTTCGGCTCTGCAAAAATAATCTTTTCACTATTTTATGGCATTTTGTGGAATAAATGTTTACCAAGAAAAGAAGCGTAAGATGAGTTAAAAGTGAGGATAATTGTTAGTTAGAGGGCCTAAAAGAAACTAATGAAGACCATGTGAACTATTATAGACCTGTACTGTACAGCTTGTTTGTGGGATTCTTCACATTCTACATCCACTGTCTGGAATGAAAGCAGGTGGCGGTGCACAGGTGCCCAGACTGCCAATTCGTTGTGTGTGTGTGTGCACGCCGGGGATGAGGCTGGCTGAGAGGCTGGCTGATGGATCAGAGGAGCATTGAGTGGACAGACCTCATGATTGATACGCAGATAGGATATGAGGTGCTGCCTGCCGACCCCCCTCCCGCACCCCCCTTTGACCTGGCACCACCTTCAGAATATGAAAGAGAGGCTGACTGCAGAGACGAGAAGTAAGAGGAGAATGGAAAAGTGCAGAGAGAAGAGGTTGAGTTAGTGCTGTGGAGATCCTGAAGAATGAGACAAAAGCAAGCACGGGTAGCGAGAACAGATCTCCCCCAGCAGAGGGATATTATTCAGAAGAAATGAGAATAACAACGTCAGAATCAGAATATTGCAGTGGGGAAGATTAGGACCATAGTGGGGCAGCGGGTTGGAGGGAAGAGGTGTTATTACCTTCTTTTCAATCTCTCATGTATAAATAAAAAAATATAGAGATCCATGAAATAAGAATAATGCTCTATCATGTGTTTACCATCTTTCGTTGCTTCCTCCTTCGCGCCTCTCGTTCTCTCTTTCTCCTTGTCTTTTTTTCCTGCCCTCAATCAGAGAAGCGCCCGGTCCCCCAGAGGCAGTCAATCTTGCCCTGAAATGTAAAACAGACACGAGGAGCAGATTACCTATTTGCCATTAATGTTTATTCCCTTTGATGTGAGCAGGCATATCAGGCTGTGTGTGTGTGTGTGTGTGTGTGCGAGCGCCTGCCAGTGTGCGCGCCAGCGTGTGTGAGGTTGATTGAGCGTTTGGATGTATGTGCAGATTTGCACGGATGCATGGTGAAGGCGGAGGGTTGGAGTGTGTGTGTGTGTGTGTGTGTGTGTGTGTGTGTGTGTGTGTGTGTGTGTATGTGTGTGTGTCACGGCAGTGGTCCACTGGGGGAGAGCGCAGTGGCGTACAGTGATCTGCTGCGTTTTCAGTCCAAAGACGACGCGGCCGTCTCATCACAGCCGGATCACAGGCCCCGTCTTTGGGTGAGCCCGCCCGAGCGCTTTTGTTGCCATCCTGTATGAGAGGAGGGAGGGAGGGGGGGGGGGGGGTTGTTAGACGTGTGTCAGTCAGTTCTGTCAGCCCTTCATGGACTTAACGGTGCGCTTTAGAGGCACCGTCAGAAGACGTGGAGGAGTGGCAGGTGCGACAAATCCACTGCTCGACCCACCCGTCAAGCGGAAGCTGAGCGTGACGAGTGTTTGTTCATGCTTGTGCACTCGCATCGCAAACACACACACACACACACACACACACAGAGGAATGCTTACATTTCCCTCATTAATATTTCAAGTGTTTGTTGAGTTAGCAGGGCAAGAGTGCTTGTGTCAGGGTTTAGCCCCGCTAACACTGGAGCCGCTTCATTACCACGCTGCTGTCCTGACCGTGGGGAGAGGGAAACCTCTAATCGTGCGCCTCCCCTGAAGGGGGGAGTCAGGATTATTGCACCAAACCACAAAGGTCAGGACGACTCAGAAGCGGTGCTTAGTGGAAGCAAGTGGAAAGCACAGAAGGGGGGGGGGGCGCGGCGCGTGAGTAGAGCTTAACCGTTATCATGAGTTGTCTCTGAACCCTCAGGAAACGTACAGGCACATTCTGATGTCTCACTTCTGCGAGGTCAGAGGTCAGGGTTGACTGAAGACCAGCACCCAGAGCTAGCTGCTAACGTTGCACTGTACGGTGTCTTGCCGCTGCTCGAATGAGGTAATCTAGGTTTTTGCTTTATAGCTCGGCTTTCTGCACTTGAGATCACAGATGGACTCCAGGCCTGTGTGTGTTTGTGTGGGAATGTGTTCGTGCATGTCCGTGAGGATGCAGGGGTTGAGCGATGGCCCGGTATTTACTTCACACAGCAATTTCCCCCCCCCGTACGAGATGAGGTGTCGTACATCTGCTAGATAGCTTTCCTGCCCGGTACCGACGTGGAGCGTGTGCAAGGTCAGCGAGCCAGCCTGGGAACAGGGAGGGTGGAGGTGAGGAGCTGAAGGGAGAAGGGGAAAGGTCCTAGAGAGGGGGGGTGGGAAAGGTTAGGGGCGCTGGAGTGGAGCAGGAAAAAATCAGGGTCTTTATCCCGGGTGAGCAGTGTGGCCTCCCGGCTTCTCACTGCACCTGGATCAGCAATCCTCCGCGTCAGGTGACAGGGTGGGAATCGCACCGGACATATGTGTCCAACGTATATTTATTTATTCACACAGTTTGGCCTGCGTGTGATGTAGCAGGTGGTTTTGAGTGCCGCCGGCCTCACAAGGGAAGCAGCCCATAGTGTGTTTTGAGGACATGACAAGTGAAATCTCTTTTTCCAACAAACCGTTTGGGACCTTTTATTGTTTTGCTTTTTTATGATGATGACTGGTGAGAGAACCATGCGTTGCGAATGACGGTGCTGACGAATAGCAAAGAAGATGAGGAAGACTGCAAACAAGCCTCAAGTTGCAGTTTCTCACAGCTCGTTGTCATTGTTACATACGTACCACGGTGCGAAGTGAAGAGCGGCCTCTCCGCTGTCTTTTCTTGGCCCCCTTCTGCTGGATGACGTTCAGCCATTTCTTTAGTCTTCCCCCCTTTTACCGGACTTGCAAAGTGTTGATTTGATTTGAAAGATGACCTGGTTTGGTTTGGTTCCGTCTTCCGTACTCCATAAAAATCAACACGCTTCCAGTTGTGAGATGTGAACGCGTTTGTTGTTGTGTACCTCCCCCTCCCCTCCGCTCTGTCTCTCTCTCTTTCCCTGTGTTGTCTTTTTTATTTATCCCCTGCAAAG